CGCAAATTAATTGATAAATCATAAACGTAATAGTTATATATTGAATATTAGAAATTGTTTTTATTTAACACACCAACAATAACCTTAAGTGGTATTATTTTTATTAATACTGAAAGCTATAAAGAGATTTTACTTTTATATTTGTTAATGTTAACTATTAATTTCTTTATAGTGTACATTGGATTTTGTAAACATTGTTTCTTGTCCTTTCTTTAAAAATTTGTTTATTGTTCTTTTTTTTTAAATTTGATTTTTGTTGTTTATTTAAAAAAAAATTGTCCTTTTTTTTTTTCTTTTTTTTTTAAATTGTTTTTTGTCCTTTTTTTTGAGAATATGTCTTCTGTCTTTATTTCTCTGTGTTATTATTTATAATCCATTTGCAATGTTTTGATATATTTTGTTTTCTGTTTGTTTTGCTTGTATTTGTATGTATTTTTTTTTAAAGAAATGATTTTAGTATTTACCTGTCAGTCAGTAACCAATAGTAATTTGCCAGTGGCCTTCTAAGATATTTCTTAAAATATAATTTAATTTTTAATGTTTTTTTTTTCTTTTTACTAAAGTTCACCCAATATAAGGCTCAAGAGTCACTCATAGTAGAGGAGTTACTGGTTTATTGAATGAGGTGTGTGATATAAATGAAAAAGGGGTAAGTGAGAATTGAAGACTATGGAGGATGGATAGTGATTCACCTTTGTCTTGAAGAGATTAAGATTGTTGTTTTCAGGGAAGCATCCACATAGTAGATTATTCTCAGGGGAAAAACTGCTTGGGTGGAACTTCCTTCTTGCAAGTGGAATAAGAAAGAAATGTGATTCAGGTTGATGGATGTATAATTGCAAGTCCTAGTTATAAAGGTCTGAACTGGTGGAACTAAAGGATAGAGCTCATTTGAACATTTGTAGAGAAAATGAAATAAAACTAATAAAGTAGTAATGAGTAATAAAAAGAAATACATTTTCTCCATCATGCTAAGAGTAAAGGAACCAGAAATATGTTTACTCCACTTGATGTCATCAAGCACTGTTAAGTGGTGTCATTGAAGCCTGTAAAAAAGACAAATATTTCCTGCCTCACTCTCTTCTCTCCACTTTGCTCAAAGATGTGAACCATGTGGCAATTATGTTCCGAATGGGGACTGTTAGTTTCCCTGGTCCACTGGTGACTGAACTCTCTTCCCACTTTACATCATGTGGCACTCACACATGTCTTCCAAAAACCTCAACATATGAGGTAGGTCAAGCTTTCAACATTTTTCTTGGGCATTCTACAAAGATTGAGTTCAGTCTCGGTAGATTACAAGATTAACATACTTTGACAGATATTTATTAAGATGTCCATTGAATTATTCAAATAAAAATCAAGATGTTGACATCTCGCACTACATGAAACAAAAGGTCAGGAAGGTCAACCATCAATAGTGGAAAGAGCAATAACAGTTACTGGACTTGAGAAAAACTGTTATAAGATAAAGATTTTATAAATTTCAACTGAAAGTAGCACTGGTTGTTCAGTTAATGAATGCTGAATGTTTCTTTATAAGGGCATGGCTACTATTACCATTACCATGTCAATAGCAGTAACTTTGTGTACTTTTTTAGAATAACAGCTTTTTGTTTGGAAAATATTTTTTTTTACTCTGCTTTATTTTCTATTTTAGTTGCTGCTTTTTGTAGTGCTGCATTTTGTGTTGTCTCTGGCTTCCAGGTTTCAACTTTTTACTTGCTATATTTCATGAGAGACAGTAGTAGTCATAGCATTGTTTCTTGAAGGAAGTGTGAGGGGGATAGAATGGATGGATCCCATCAGATTAGTCAGTGACTTGCCATTACCATGTGGTGGCCTGTCTTAATAAAGAATCTGGGAATGGTGAAACATCTTTATCCATCTATTCTTTAACCATACTAAATGTTGAAACATATTTTTTGGTCTGGTATGAAAACCCTATACCCATAAAGTTTAAACCATTCATTTCAGGTCGCCAAAGTCCTGACCAGTTGAGCACTCATTTCAGGTCGCCAAAGTCCTGACCAGTTGAGCACTCATTTCAGGTCGCCAAAGTCCTGACCAGTTGAGCACTCATTTCAGGTCGCCAAAGTCCTGACCAGTTGAGCACTCATTTCAGGTCGCCAAATTCCTGACCAGTTGAGCACTCATTTCAGGTCGCCAAAGTCCTGACCAGTTGAGCACTCATTTCAGGTCGCCAAAGTCCTGACCAGTTGAGCACTCATTTCAGGTCGCCAAAGTCCTGACCAGTTGAGCACTCATTTCAGGTCGCCAAAGTCCTGACCAGTTGTTTGCCATTTTGTGTCAGGTTATGCAGTCTGTAACAGTAGCAAGAGGCTATAAGTTTATTCCTATTTAATGAAAGCATGATATGTAATATGTATATTATCTTTTTTTTTTATTTTATCAAAAGCCAATACATGCATTGATAGATAATGTTCAAAGGTCACTGAAGAAACTTACCAAGGATTACAGGCTGACAGGGAAATACCTTATTTTCCTTTTCTTGTTTGTTTTCTTTTCTTTTTTTAATTGTTATTATTCAGCTTTTTCTTATTAAAAAATTTTATTAGTTTTTCTTTTTCTATTTAACATTTAAAAAAATCCCCCATCATAAAAAAAAGCACAATGTGACTTTATATATTTATTGGTCATGGAACCTGATCTCTGCTACTTACTGACTTCCATTGTTATAGTAACAGGAAGCATTTCTTGATGTTAATAAGTAAATCATGCCCTGTGTTACCTTAACAACGACATAACTCATTAATAAGTAGATAGGATTATATTAGTAATATATTGCTTTTTATTTCATGTTAGCTTTAGAGATTTAATTTTTACTTAATTACTCAAAATTCAGACAAAAGTAAATTTTAAAACTAAAATACTAGATTCTTCAAGTGGAAAATATAAACAATGCAGCTGGAAAATGACTTAAATACTGCAACCATTTCTTGATGGTTCTGGTAAACTAGTTAATATATATACATAATTTATAAAGACATAATTAATAAGACAAACCATTTTGCTAAGTTTTCCTTTTTACTTAAAAATTATATTATTATTCTACTTGTTCTTTTGCCTACATCCTGCCATTCCCTCTGATAATTAATAGACCATTCCATTTTTATTTCAAGGAAAGACGGAAGAAGATATATCAGAGATGCTTTCTGTCTGAATTTCTGGGATGAGGAATTATCACTACTTACAAGTCAACTATTCCCTCATCTTTGTTGTTATAACATTTCTAGATACTGTTCCTGAAGAAGAAAAAGAAAGAAGAAAGGCAGCTATTAGTAAAATAGTAAAAGGACTCTTTTGTTCTCCTATTAGTTAGTATGTACCTTAGGCCCTGTCATTGCCTCAGATAAATAATGGACTATTCCATTTTGATTGCAAGGAAAGATGGAAGAAAAGGGATATAACAGAAAGAAAGCATCCATCATAATAAGAAAGAAAGAGAAAATAGAGGAGGCAATAACTTAAATAGGTTACTTACTGTTTTACACTTGCTTTCAATATGTCCTGTGAGTGTTAAATTCTCCAGGCCCTCTTTCTTCATTTATCCTCATTATCTTCAGTCCCATGACTGGGTGTGATTGTAGGGTTATGCACAGATGAGTAACTAGCCAGATTCCTTCAGATATTTGGGTTAGAAAGCTGCAGAGATATTCATTCATGCGTAACCTGACAGACAAGTATAACTAGTGGTGCCTATTTCTCTCCATGTCAAACTGTAGCTGATCATTTTGATCATGGACACATGGCTGTTGATTCCATCAGGGGTACCCTTCACATGGGCCATTGATTTCAATCTAGGAAGCCCTCCATTCAGCAATGCCATGTCATCACTGCACTGGCTGTATACATGTCTATGGAACCCAGTCTACATCACTGTGCTCAGTAGTCATTGATCCTACAAGAATGTTCATCTGCCTTTTGACAGCCCTTGTTTTTAATTCTGCTGGGTGTCCTCACTAGAAAAGCCTGGCTGGGGAATTGGTTTCATAGCAAATGACCTGACTGTGCAGCAGATAGTACTGAATTACATGGTACCAGTGGTACCTTGTAATGACTTCACCTAATCCTCATTATGTTATGTATCCCTAAATATTCAGCTCACTCTTTCTGATTGTTTGTTTGCTTTCTATAAAGGTGGTTGCAAAATCAGTTCAGTTTAGCAGTTGAATATAAGAGTGTTGTAATATTGGACACTTTTTCCTTTCTTTTTTTAGATTTTACATATATTGTAAATTGAACCACTCCACTTACTTTAAAATTTCTTTTGTTTTAATTAGCAGTTCTCAAAAAAAAAGCCATTATTTTCATAAAGAGCAAGACAAACTACATTGGAAAAAAATTCATTAACAAAGAAATAATTTAGCTAAACAGAATCATTACTGATCATTTTTTTTTAATCATTGTAAATTGTAGGAATTACAAGATTTATATTTCTGTCCAACTTGATATCATACCATGTTATTTGTCCAGTAATATTTGGCTATATTTTCTCATCAATTTTGAGAGTTTAGCTTTTTCTTTTAGTACTCCAATTCATTTCATTCACTCCAGCTGCAGTTAACAAAACTTTTGTTTTATCTCATTAACCCAGAACACATTTTTGCATGGTTTAATAAAACATCTTAAAATAACCCCAGAGTTTTAAACACATCTGACAAACAAATCTATAGATTTGAACTGTTTGATATTCCTAAATTTAAAAATATTGGCCAAGATTCTTCCTACTTAAATGAAAAAAAACATTTTTTTTCCTCCTCATTTTTTTCTCTTCTCATCATCCTTGTCTCATTTCAGGTTTGTTTTTAATTAACTAATTAGAAATTATTTTTCATACATAAATATGATTATTCAAGAATTACTTATCTTAGAATGATTAATTTGTACTTTTCTTACTATGACATTTGGAAATTATTTAACTAATTATGCCTAGAAATCAACACTGCATGGTGTCTGTGAATTTGCTGCTTCAAAGCTTACGGTCAAATCACATCAAAAACACTAGTTATCATTTGATCACAGAAGTTAAGCAGTGCTGAGCCCAGTCAGTAAGTACTTAGATGGGCGACCACTTGGGAACACTAGGTAGTGTAAGTGATCTCTTACAATACAAAACATGTTTCAGCTTTAAATAACCCACAAAGGGTTGATAATCTGTAAAAAAAAAACGAACCTGCTAATCATGCTTCAAGTGATCCTCAGAGCATCTATATTGTCTGTATCTACAAATGTTCTGACTCTAATATTGAGCACCCTTCTATAGCTATAGAAAAATTTCCACACACACAGAAAAGGTAGGGGTTGTTGAGAAGATTCCCTACCTGTCTAAGAAGTCCTTCCAAAAATAAACTCTGATATTTGATCATTTGTTCAGATTTTAGAAAGTGACTTTAGTTGAGAATTTTTCACCACTTGCTTGTGTGTGTAAAAATAAAAGTATATCTGTAAAGGGACAAAATGAATAAAGACAAAAGGAAAACTTATCTTAGCTAACACATTTTGTACTCTGAGAAACTTTATCAAAACAAATGTAAGAATTTCATGTGACAAGTATTTATATAGCAAAGCAAGCAAGATCCAGGGCTTTGATTATACTGCTGTGGATATCCCAGTGACTACAGTAAACAGCAGTCGGCTAATTCTCACTCCTTTCCCATCATCCCTGCCAAACTGGGCTAATGTGGGCAAGGCTGCATTCCCACACACCCTCCCAATGCAGTCTCTCCACATCTTTCTAGGTCTACCTCAACTTCTGTGACCAGGAACCCTGAGCTTCGAGACAGTCCTAATGCATGGTGAAGCTTGTTGAACATGACCAAATCATGTCCATTTATTTATATACAAGAGCAAAAATGTTATTGGTTTTTCAAAAACTTTTTGGTATAGGAGTGCTTATGAGCACACATATTGTTCAGAATTTAATGTCATATCCATTTTTTGATATGATGGTTGTCAAAACTGGAATAATTTTAGTTAATCTTAGAAAGATTAACATCAGTTTTATCACACTGCTATTCATAGTATTTGCTGTATTCTACTTAAGGTTTAAGTTTGTAACAATAATAAAAATTATAAATATCCTGTGTCCAATACTTTTGTATCTAACTATACACATGCACAAAGGCAACATATTTTATGGCATGCAATAACAATAGACTTGAAGTTTAATTTCTTGAAAAATTGTTTTAAGAGGATTTTTGTAAGTTTAAATCAACAGCAATGCTTACTATTTGATCAATGAATGCCAAATGTTTTCTATATTGAAACAGTTGATTTTACAATTAACATCTACATAAGATCTGCAGGTGTATATCTCCCACCAACCTCATTTCTACAAAGAGTATTTATAAATGTTATTGGAACATTATCTATATTTCTCTTTTCATTCAATTCAAAACAAATTCATGAGATTTAAATATTTGAATTGAAAAGCAGATCTTGTAAATTATCACATACAATAACATGCTTTTTATATCAACTTATATCATGGAACTTACAACCATACTATGTTGAAACAGCTTCTTGTCTCATCACTGAAGTTAAACAATGGTTAGTACCTGGGTGGGTGACTGCTTGGGAATACACAGTGCCGTAAACTTGGATGTGCAGGTGGTGTAATGAATAATGGTGTGGAATTGGAAATCGGAGAGCCAAGTTCTAATTGCAGTAATGTTCATTATATTCACTTACATGTATATATCCTTGGGAAAGGCATGAATCCACCTCTTCTCCACCTCAGTTAAATATTAGTAAATCATATATTATCTCCCAAAAATTCTTACAATGCAAAAATGTTTGCAGGCTTTTAAATAACCTTCAAAAGGTGGATAAGCTGTAAAAAAAAAATAATAATGCTATCAAGTATAACATGGATAGGATTTATTAGACACTTACATAAAAGCTCTGATTTCCTATTATAACTACAAATATAGTGACAGTAGATGCTGAATGAAATGACTTTTTTTGCCATTTATTAAAAGGCACTGATATTTAGAGAGTTTAAAATTTTTATTTGGTTACTTATTCTAGTGCATCATTTTACTTACAATTATTGCTACATAGCACAAAGAATTGTCAGTTTATTATTTTAACTAATTAGTTGTAAATAATCAACAGTATCTTTTTATCTGTTACTTATATTGTTAACTAAGACTGTTTTTACATTTATATAAGTAACACAGTTAATCAAAATCATTGCTGCATAATTTGTTTCATTATTAAAATTTTCATATTTGGAGAGAAAAAAGAGGGTAATATGTGAGTGTACATGCTCTTAATTTTTTATAGTCTGTTTAATTTTTTTTTTTTTTGTGCAGTAAGCAAAAAAAAGTATTATCTGATTTTTTCCACTGAAGTAATGATCTCAAGATGTGATGTTCCTTTCATTGCTTGTAATGTTGTGATTGATCACCAGAGTATAAAAAGCTGATTGAAGGGATTTTATTTTTAAATTTTCTTTTTTTATTATCACCCAACCTTTGCGAGAGGGAGGTTGCATAAAAGACATTATTTTCATTTTCATGGACATTTTTTGTGTAGGAATTGCTGACCACTTTACACAAGAAAGAAGGCCAAATCGAAGAACTCGACCATATTGTAAGATTCACTCCTACATATAACTTAACCTTAAGGAGCTTCTTCTCTTCTCTTACAATGAATCGAAGTCTTACCTTAGTTATCTATAATCATCATTCTGGCCAATGCTAAAAACTGAATTTTTTTTATGCTTGGATTAAGAATTACAAATAACTGGCTGACCCTTTTTTTATTTGTTTTTTTTTTTTTTTTTTTTTGCATCTTGCTTATTCATTCTTTCATTTGTTTTTCTTCATTCCTTCGCATATGTAAATACAACTCAACTAAACCCTTTATATCATCATAACCCAATATGACTCATTAAATGGTAATGTAAAGAAAGTATTTAAGCAATCAGCACCTATAGGTACAGCTTTTGGGGTTAAAAAAAATGGGACTGCAAACTAAGAGAGTTGTTTAAAATTTCTTACCATAAACTGATTTAGAAGTACAAAAAAAAAAACATTAAGAAACTTTCTCAAAACTTTATGATCAGAACCCTATCATACTTAAATGATATATCAGTGTGTGTATATATATATATATATATATATATATATATATATATATATAAGATAAAGAACAAATAGGAAATGTATCTCAATCTCTAGCATGTTTCACTTTTATTAAAGCTTCAGCAGAGATTGAGAGAAAACAGACAAAGACAGAATTGGTCAGTATGTAGACAAGTTCTGTCTTTTTGCCTGTTTTCTCTTAATCTCTGATGAAGTGTTAATAAAAGTGAAACATGTTAGATTGATATAAATTTCCTATTTGTCCTTTATTTTATCCTGTTGGATTCTGATCCATATTTGATCTGAATTTTATCTTTAACTAACATATATAAGTTCAGGCTCTTATAAATTGAATCTAATTTGTTGAACCACTGTGCAGAACCAATCTGTCAAGTATGACATAATCACTTTTGATATTCATTGTTATTAAGCAAAAAGAATATTATTCCATGAATTACTTGGACTATTATTATTATCTTTGTTATTTTACAGTTTGAATTATTGTGTGTTCCCCAACATTAGGTCAGTGTCACATCTTGTAATCATTAAAAGAAATCATCTGAACATTTTTTTAAAAACCTTTGTTGATCTCTTAATCACTACATCATGTTAGAATAACTCAGATCTAAGTGACAAAGATTCCTGCTTTATTTTAATTTTTCAGAGTCTGTAAAAAGAAAATTGATAATATAGACAATTGGAAAATTTTTGTTTGATATTTGAAAATAGCCATAATTACTAGATGGAAAGCTTGAAAAGCTCTTTATTTCTAATATAATACTCAGCATATTATTTTCATTGCTGTTATCTGATTTTATAGTTCTTGATACTGGCTTCCATAGGGAACTCATTTTTATAGCCTCTTGTAAGATGTTTCTACAATTGTGATAATTGTTTTACTTTACACATTAGGTAAATAATTCATGGAATAATTACAAAATTTTACCTGAGAACTTGAAGAAAATTTTACGGTAGTGTTTTCTTTGATTCATTGTGTGGGATATATATATATATATATATATATATATTACTTATTCATTATTTTTAATGGATACCCATATATGAGTTGATGATCTGTTTTTATTTATTTATTAAAAAGTATATTTTCTTTATTTCCATCTTGTTAGAAAAATGTGCATATTTTTCTAACAAGATTTATAGGATATTCAGGCCGGTAGATGGAAAGAAATATACGATTTAAGCAGTAAATCAATATATCAGACTAATAAATGAAAAATCCATTCCTAAATATATATATATATATATATATATTATTACAGTGGATACTCATATTTGAAATAGATATTCCATTTTTATTTTTTGTTTTAAATGGTGTATATTAAGTCTAACAGGTTGTGCATTTGAGAAATCTTAGTAAGGACTAGCAGGAGAGCCCGGCATTGCCCAGGGATGTAACAGTAAGAGATAGATCAAGTATCAACCATCATAAAGACTGAAAAATAAAATTGACAAAGATTGTTTAAGGTTGACGGACACGCATGTCTTAATTAGTTTTATTTTATTTTATTTTTTTTTAACGAATTGGTCAAACTCAAACAAAAACATTGTTTTCAATCGTTATGAGTCTACCGATTAAATAGAATTTTATTATAAAAAATTGTCTTGTAAATGGAATTTTTAAAGCATTCTGAATGTAAAAATAAAGAAAAAAGTGTGCAAGACAATAAGAAACACTACCTGCCAAAAAAAAGTGAAGTTTTGTTGAAATCGGTTGAAAAATGTAGGAAATCTGATCCCATATATAAACAAACATACACACACACACACACACAGCCAACCTGAGTTTTATAATAAGTATAACGTGATAAATTGATATTAATAAGTATAACTCGATATGAGTTGTCCCCCTTTCATTAATGCCTCTTAATCATGTTTTCTAATTGATTTCGTGCAAAAACAATTGTTTTTCCAATTTTTGGCACTGTCAGAACCACCGCAAGGTAATTTTACGTAGTCCTGTGAAGTTTGGTTGAAATCGGTT